TCAGGAATCAAAGTTTCTGGATATGCCGGTGCACGTGCACTAAAATCCTTCCATCATCAACGGATAAGGATTTCTTGACATTACAAGCTACTGCGAGCCCGCGATACATGTAGGAGCCCAAATAATGATAACCATACAATTCTTTCCTACACAATTTTTGCACCGTACAAGAGAGGAAATTGTAGGGTCTCTTCCTGAGCTATTAATTAAAAAAGAAATTTGAAAAATGACCCCATACTTTTCAATCTTGTAGCGGAGGAACAATGTAGAAGGATTAAAGTAGTAACCATTGCTCGTTACCAATCTAGGATAAAAGGATAACTAGTGTGCACATCGTGCAAAGCACGGTCCTATTTATTTATTTCCGTTACATCAATTTTGTTTTTAAATGTTTTTATAAGAGCTATAGAAATATTTAGAGGAATATATATCATAAATTATTTTGAAAATGATAAGTTTAGGGGCTGTTTGGTTGCACACTTTTTGAGAAAACTTTTCTCAAAACATCTAACAATGACAAATTTGTAATTAAAAGTTTTCCAGAGATTTCTGTAAATTGTGTTTGGTTCAAAAAAAAATTTACAGAAATATTTTCTATAAAATATCAAAACCTACCAAATTTTACAAAAAACAATTTCATCTCAAAATGAGAGGAAATCACCAGAAATCTGACACATACCATATTTAATTAAAAACCTACCAAATCTTGTTATTTTCTATAAAGTTATGAGTCATTTTCTTGTTTTGAACCAAACAAGCAAAATACAAAAAATAAGAAAATTGGTATTTTTTGATTTCTCAAAACTTTTTCTATAATTTTTTTAAAAAATACAAGGAAATCATATTTTAAGTGGAAAACATTTCCTATAATTTCTAGAAATTGAACCAAACACCCCCTTACCCTCTACTTGAAGTTCGAAATTAGACCATGTCATTATTATCCGTTCCAAATTAGGTAGGACTTACTTGGTCATGCGCCCACTTATCTTATATAGAAATGTTAGGGGCACACCCCCAACCATAATCTCAACCATACCTCCTCTCCCTCTATAGTGCATTGGGCTCCACATCAAATTTTTTTTAAAAAATTTAATGTGGGACCCAATACACTATAGAGGGAGAGGAGGTGTGGTGGAGGGTGTGGTTGGGGGTGTGCCCTAGNCTAGGGTTAGGGTTAGGGTTGGGATTTCTCTTCATCACCCGAGATCCCCAAACCCCTCAGAGTCCTCCGATCCCCCGAGCCACCTCAAACCCTAATCGTCGCCTCTAAACCCCTAGCGAAAGGATTCAAAGCTCAGCAATTTGATCGATGCAGCAAAGTTCTTAGCTTTCTTTGAGGTGGGCCCAAAATGTCCAAAAACTTTGTGAGGGTTGCCGAAGGATTCGTAGGGCTTCAGC